CCTGCTCGGCACCCGGCCCCTGACCCCCGCCGCCCTCCTGGCCTAGGTGGGTCCTGTACGAGGAGCCCAACTACCGCGGCCGCATGTACCTGGTGGAACGGGGCGACTTTCGCAGCTTCTCTGACTGGGAGGCCCACAGCGCGCGCGTCCAGTCCCTCCGTAGGGTGGCCAACTTCTTCTAGCCACCCCGCCGCCGGGGTCCTGCCAGGACCAGGAGGGGCCCCGGGAGAGGGTCGGTCTCCTCCGGCCCCGCCCAGGACTCAGACCATCGGGAATAAAAGTCCTAAAAGCCAAGAGCTGAGCCGGCCTGTGTGACTTCTCTGCCCTTCATGTGTGATCAAAGGACAGCTGGGTGGGGGTGCCCCCGGCCCTGGGCAGGAGGCTGGCAGGAGCACCCCTAGGACGGGAGGGAAGGGTGGAGCGAGTGGAGCAGGAACACTAGGGCTGGAAGGGACCTATAGGTCAAGGAGTCCAATCTTCACTGCACACGTGAAAAGCCCGTGCTGTACATGGGGGAGTCACCACTGCCAGTCCCAGAGCAGCTCCCGGTGGAACCAGGAAGGGACCAGGATGCTTCCTCCACCTGGAACGGGGCCAGATAGGGAACAATGGGAGGGAGACACGATGAGGGGAGGGGCAAGGCCTGGGGTTGTAATGGGGGTGGGTGGGGTGGGGCAGGGACCCAGGGGTTCTGCAGCTGGGGCAGCCGCTCCCTTTGGGTGGTGTCTTTCCCAGATCAGCGACAGGTGCTGCCAGCCCATGTGGTCTGGTCTGCTGCACCACCAGAAGACTGACCCAGGGTTCCTGAGTCTGCATCTCTGAGTGATCTTGGCCTCGGGGGTTTACAGTGGAGGCCCCTCTGAAAGGATGGGCTGGACCCCAGGAATAAGTCACCCCTTACATCCTGTAAGGAGAGAGAAATTGAGGGGGGTCCTGGAAGATGAAGGGGAGTTGTTGCATGAACAGGTGGGCTCTGCAGGGATGGAGCAGAAGGAGACGTGGGAGGGGCTTTCAAGGATGAAGTGGGCAGAGCCTGGAGCATCTCTCCAACTCCCCACTGCTCACAGGGCTGGGAGACCCAGGGCCCAGGCTCTCTTCACCCCAAGGGTGAATCCACGGAACTTCGTGGCCTGGGCCTCCCCCAGGACACTGGGCCCACTTTGTTGGGGTGGGCTTGGTGGAACAGGGCACAGCCTCTGGGGAGAGGGAGGGAAGAGCCTGGCCTGGGATATGGTGGGATTTCTGGGAAGAGGCCCCCCACACCTCCCCGCCCACAATTCAGTGTCCAGCCTCCCATTCCCAGTAAGATAGGACATAACCTGCTGGACCCTGGGAGTGGCTCAGATAGCTCCCATTCCCTGCCCACAGCACCCCAGCAGAATCCTGAACCACAGAGCCGCCTGGACTGACACTGGCTGTGCAGATGTAAATGACGTGCTCCTTTGAGTAGAAACATTGGCTTATGTCCTCTCCTGTGGGCCAAGCTTCTGGGCAGAGCACAAGGGCCCTGGACATCTGGACAGGGGGTCATGGAGATGGGAAACCCAAAGATGCCAACTCCCAACCTCACCGGACCAAGACCCCTGGCTGGAATAGGGATCTGGGCTGGGACAGCAGGCTGGGATCAGGTCCCCCCAAGACTTCTGACCATTGGGTCAAGCTCATGATCTAGCTTTCCAAAGCCCTGTATTCTGCCATCCCTGGCCGCTCCTCACTGGCCACGTCTCCCTCCCCCTCCTTCACAGCTTGCTTGTGCTCTTCTGAGTAGGTGAAGGGGAGTCCCACTGGGAAGGACCCCCTTTCAGCTGGCCACTAGCCTCAGGACCCTGTAAGAAAGTACTTGAACATGGAATAAAAAATATATATATATATATATATATTTTCGATTGAAGTATAGTCAGTTACAATGTGTCAATTTCTGGTGTACAGCACAATGTCCCAGTCACGCATACACATGCATATATTCGTTTTCATATTCTTTTTCATTAAAGGTTATTACAAGATGTTGAATATAGTTCCCTGTGCTGGAATTACTATTTACACTGGGATTGAGAGGTGCAGATAGGCTGGGTGGAAATAGGATTGGAATCTGAAGTTTAGAGAGGAAAATTGAGTTCTTAAAAGAAAAACAAAAATCTCAAGAGTTGGATTCTGCTGCAGGCCTGAGTGTGGAAGAGGCTGGGGTGGCTGTTTCAGTGGAATGTGAGATGCCAGTTGTCCCAGGTCCCAGGGACCTCCCACCCCCACCCCACCCCTCTTTCCCCACTGAGAGAGAAACAATAGCAGGTGAACCACTCAGGACAACACTCACCGAGAGTGGTTGCAAAGGTGGGGGTAGGGGCCCCCGGGAGTCTGCAGTGGGACCTCTCTAGGCAGAGAAGTTACAGCACAGGGTGACTGTCCATCCAGCCTGGGGAAAGGGAAGGGGCTGCCCTTCCTCCATCTGTAGATGGGTCCACAGAGGGTGTGCCCCCAGAGGATGGAGTACTGGCAGCCCCTTGCCCCAGGTAACTGAGGGCTCTCCATCCAGATAAGGAACTTGAAGAAACCACCACAAAACTAACAGCAAACCAGTTCAAGTCTCTGAGCCCTGAATGAATCTGCATTCAAATGGACCCTCGCATTGTGTGAGTCGGAAAGAGGATTTGCTGGAAAACTTGCTCTTGTTTTCCCTTTCTCTGCCAGTTTGTTTAGGGAGGTGGCCCTTTCTGTGTGAGCCCAGCCACTCCTGTCTCCACGTGTGGGAGGCCCCGTCCGCACCCACGACCCTGTCCCTGTCTGACCCTCAAGGCTCCACACCAGGTCTGGGAGAGGAGGGTCGCAGATCGGGCTGGCCCCAGGCCCCCAGGACCTCACACCTCTTTCCCATTGTTGATGAGGATGATGATACCACTGAGCTTTAATTTTATGCACTGACTTGATGCCAAGGTCTGTACTAGTGGAATCTGTATAATTTTACTTGTTTTGTACAATAACACCAAGACTGTGATATCCTTATTATCATCACTACAAAGGCGAGCTACACGCAGACAGGTTAAGCAACTTACCTAAGGTCACACAGCAGTCAGGATTCAAACTCAGGTCTGGCTGATACCTTTGCTCCCAACCACTCTACTGTACTGCACACACATTTGCATACATAGGTGTGTTGTGTACTAGATAAAGTAATGGTAACCCACTCAATAGCAATCACACGCTCAATAGCATTGTTCCCTGCACAGCAGCACTATTTACAACAGCCAAGACATGCAAGCAACCTAAATGTCCATCCACAGAGGGATGGATAAAGAAGATGTGGTATATTTATACAATGGAATATTACCCGTAAAAAAGAATGAAATAATGCCATTCTCAGCAGTGTGGCAGATTATCATACTGAGTGAAATAAGTCAGAGAAAAACAAACATCATATGATATCATTTACATGTGGACTCTAAAAAAATAACGCAAATGAACTCATTTACAAAACAGAAACTGGCTCACAGACATAGAAAACAAACATAAGGAGGGGAAGGAGGTGGGAAGGGATAATTTGGGAGTCCTGGATTTGCAGGTACACACTACTATATATAAAATAGATAAACAACAAGGTCCTACTGTACAGCACAGGGAACTATATTCAATATCTTGTAATAACCTATAATGGAAAAGAATATAGAAAGTATATATATATGTATAACTGAATTACTGTATACACCAGAAAATAACACAACATTGTAAATCAACTATACTTCAATTTAAAAACATTTAATTTTAATTTAAAAAAAAGCATTGTCCCCTGCATCACTTCATTCAAACTCCCCATGACCCGTGGGAAGAGGAGCCAGGCGTCCTTACCCTGGTCTGCAAGCACCATGGGAAGAGGCAGGGCCTGCCTTCTCCAGTGGCCTATGGTGTGAACTGGGAGCAAAGTGCGTTAGTCAGCATGGGGCTTAGATACGACACTTTTCCTCTCATAGTTCTGGAGGCCAGCAGTCCAAGATCAAGGTGCTGGCAGGTCTGGTTTCTCCTGAGGCCTCTCTCCCTGGCCAGCAAGTGGCCGTCTTCTCCCTGTGTCCTCACACGGCCTTTCCTGTGTGTGTGTCTGTGTCCTGATCTGTTCGTATAAGGACACCCGTCGTATCAGATTAAGGGTCCAACGTAACAGTCTCATTTTAACATAATCATCTCTTTAAAGACCCTATATCTTCAGTCACTCTGAGGTTCTGAGGGTTAGGATTTCAACATAGGAATTTGAGAGGGACACGTTTCAGCCTATAATATGAATCCAACAGCCTCTCCAGGCCTCCATCTGCCCCGCTCTGTGAAATGAGTGCAGTCGTATCTGCTGTTGCAACAGCATACGGCTGCAAAAGCCAAACTAACCCTGAGAAGGTACTGTATGAATATCGGTCGTTCATAGCAAGTGGTGCACTCAGTGGCACCCAGAAGGGGGCGGCGGGGCGGGGTTAAGGGCCAGCTCTGGGTTTCCACCCTCATCCTCTCGCTGTTACTCACTAGGATGTGTCCTTGGACCAGTCACTGCCCCAAGGCCCGGTTTCCCCAGCTGTACGGTGAGGATAACACTTTCCTGGGGATGTAAGGGAGAATCACCGAGGAAGGAAGTCCTCCCACGGCCGAGGAGATCGGGCCAGTCCCCAGTAGCCCGGGGAGGAGCCAGGCCTCGCAGCCCTTCCCCGCATTCCAGAGGTTTCCCCTGAACTTGTCCTGCTCCCCAGCTGAGGAAGAGCGGCACCTCATTAACTGGTGATTTAGGGCTTCACCGATGGGCTGGTGCTCCTGGGTGACCTCCCCCTCACCCCAGCCCCCTGCTCCCTAATCTGTCAGAAAATCTGCTTTTTGTCTGAAAGAAGAAAAACAAGATTGCCACCAAAGTGCTTGTGGGCAGGCTTGTAATTTGTCTGAAGTCGGTCCAGGGGGTCGGTGCACCGAGGGCAGCGCCGGCTGAAGCGAGTCACACATGCTTCACATACTTGTGTCTGCACTCTGCGGTCTGGAAAGCTGCGCCTCTCCCAGAGCCATCCTCCTGTCCTCAGCCCCCTACCCCGCCCGCACCCCCTGCCGACCAGGAGCCAGCAGGCGCTGTTTATCAGGCCCATCTGACACAGGGAAACGTTCCCTCTGAAACCCCCACAGATGTTCCTCCGCCAGCCTGGCCCCCGAGGGCTGTGTTAGTGGATCGTCCTTGCTGCCGCCCCTCCCCGTGAGCCTGGGGGTCCCCGGTACCCCTGGGGACCCTCCATATTCCCTGGGAAGGTCTCCTGTCTCCACTGCTAGAGTCCTACGTAGCTGTGTTCCCCTCAAGAAATCACATGGGTTTTCAGTTCAAACCAGTTGATTGAGAGACTTTCAAAAGGCAGCTGCAGAGTGTGAGTTTGGGAAGTTGAGAAAGTTCCGGAGATGATGGTGGTGACGGCTGCACAACAGTGTGAAGGTGTTTAATGAGCTGTCCACTGGAAGACGGTTCCGAAGGTAAATTGTCTTTTCCGTCTATTTTACCACAATGAAAATAAAAGTCTAGTTGCTGGGGTGCTGAGGGCTGTTGGGAGGTAATCTGGGTATGGAAGCGCCTCCCCTGATTCTGGAAGATACTGTGGGTTCTACCTCCCTGTGCCTCCCCCTTGGAGAACCTGACATCCTCTTAACAGACCTCACTTCGTGCCCCCACACCACCAGTGCTGGGCGATGCCTGCCGAGGAAATGGAAGCAGCACAGGCGGCGTTTCTTCTGCAGGGTGGCTCAGGGAGCTGGCGTGAGGACCTGGGCTGAACCCTGACCTCCAGTCCCAGCCCAGCCACGCATATGTCTGGTCAGCCCAGTGACACCAGAGGGAGTGACTTGCACTGAGGCCTGTGAAGCTGGACCTGTAAAATGAGCTTTTTTTCGTAAACAGGCCCTTGGCCTCTCTGCCGCCTGAGGCTAAGCCCCTCTTTGGAATCAGTGATTGAAAACATCCCGCAGAGTCCAGCTGACGCTGTTCCCTGGCATGGCTCTGCCCGAGAGGGGGCTGGGCGGAGGCTGCCCTGGGGGCGCTGTGGGTTTGGAGAGGGCCTCCCTGGACGCTGAGAGCAGCCCTTGGTCAGGGCCCGTGGGGAGAGGAGGCTGAGCGGTCCGAGGTGAGAACCCTGCTCCTGGCCCACGCAGCCCCCAGGACCGCACACTCCAGGTGGGGGGCGGGGGCCAGGTGAGTTCATGCTCCGCCAGCGGGGGTTTGGTGACTGTGCAGGCTGCTAAGTTTGGGGATGGAAGTTCGGGGGTGGGCAGGAAGACCAAGCCACACCCTCTCTCCACCGGCCCTGCCTGTCCCCCAATACCCAGGGCAGGCAGCCCACAACTGGGGATTGAGAAGGTCCTTTTTCCTGGGTCCCTTTTCCATAGCGGATTGGGGAGGCTGCTCCTGAGTGCCTGGCGCGAGGAACTGAGCAGTGTGTCCCCTTCACAACTGGGCCCAGGCCACTCCCAGACCGCACAGGCTCCATGATTCCTGGACCGCAGGGACAGAGAGGGCAGCGGGCACAGGGCCGCCCACCCAGTGGGGCTGCTGGCGGAAATCCTTTCCCAAGGCCAGTGGGAGAGAGGAGCCTCCAGAGACGGCAATAAGCCCTCCACACAGAGAGGGAGCGCTCAACTGCCAGGCACACCTCGGGGCGCGCTGCATCTCACTCAGAAAGACGGAAAAGGTCCCTGAAGACATCTTTGGGCTTTGAAAAAGGTAGAAGAAAAAAGGTGAGGCCTGGGTACGGTGAGCATCCACAATGTTATACACAGCTAGAGTCCTGCTTCTTTACTGGAGAGGGACTCTTGATGGGCCAAAGCACAGGGAAACGCGATCCTGCCCATGAGGCAGAGTCCAAAAGATAGAAAGAAACCAGTTTCCCAAGAGGAGCCCAGCTATTCCTGGGACTCGGGCCAGAGAGGAATTTCCTCCCGGGTCCTTGGGACCCATGCTGATAATCACACGCTGAGTCTTCAACAGATCCCTCCCGCAAAAAGAAGAACTAGTTTCTTCGGATTTTTTTTGCTAATCACATCCCATAGGGCTAGGCCGGTGGCATTACGCCAAAGTAAACTTGCTGTGGGGGAGATTTTAACATCATTTGTTTACATAGGAACATTTAGCAAATTCTAATCGAATTTAATTGGGCTGTTAAAGCAGGGCCTGGCCATACTTGGTTATGAGTAAATACTAACATCAACAACACAGCTGACATTTATTGAGCAATTACTACGCCCAAAACACTGTGCTAAACCTTTTTTTTTTTCTTAACATATAATGAGGTGAGTTTGTTACAGTTAGAGAAATAGACTTACAAGGTAATGGTAACTTGCTCAGACTTGCCCCAAAAGTAGCAAGAGGCAAAGTGCTCTGGCCATGCAACTCCTGAGCCAGCACCTAACTCCTACCCATCACCCACAGCAGAGGCTGGCCCAGCTTTCAGACTGAAACATAGATATACAGTCTTTTTTTAAGTGATGTAGGGTTTTGGTGTCCGATTTATTATTTAATCCATATGCAGACTCCTTTGCATATGTGTGTGTGTGTGTATATATATATATATATATATATATATATATATATATATGTTTTATTGAAATATAGTCAGTTTACTATCTTGTGTCAGTTTCTGGTGTACAGCATAATGCTTGTCATACATGCACATACATATATATTCCTCTTCATATTCTTTTTCACCATACGTTACTATAAGATATTGAATATATTTCCCTGTGCTATACAGTATGAACCTGTTTATTTTATATATATTAGTTAGTATCTGCAAATCTCGAACTCCTTCTAATTTATCCCTCCCCACTGCCTTCCCCCAAGTAACCATAAGTTTGTTTTCTATGTCTGTGAGTCTGGTTTGGTTTTGTAAATAAGTTTGTCTTTTTTTTTTTTAATTTGACATATGAGTGATATCATATGGTATTTTGCTCTCTTTCTGGCTTACTTCACTTAGAATGACATTCTCCAGGTTCATCCATGTTGCTGCAAATGGCATTATTTTATTCTTTTTATGGCTGAGTAGTATTCCATTGTATAAATATACCATAGCTTTATCCAATCATCTGTTGGTGGATATTTAGTTTGTTTCCATGTCATGGCTATTGTAGATAATGCTGCTATGAACATTGCGGTGCAGGTGAGTTTTTGAGTTAAGGTTCCCTCTGGATATATGCCAAGAGTGGGATTGCTGGATCATATGGTAAGTCTGTTTTTAGTCTTTTGAGGAATCTCCATACTGTTTTCCATAATGGCTGCACCAAACTACATTCCCACTAACAGTGTAGAGGGGTTCCCTTGTCTCCGCACTCTCTCCAGCATTTATCATTTGTGGACTTTTTAATTATGGACATTCTGACTGGTGTCAGTCTCTTAAGATAGTATCTAGATGAGAAGCGAACATTACTCAGGCTTTTGGACTCAGAGACTGGCCAGCCCATCACACCACTTCTGGGCATGGTCAGTTGGGTGGGTCTTTGGATTGTTACCCACTGGGAGTGGGGCATTGCTTGTGTGGTTCACACTGGGCAGTCCCTGGGAAGTGGGGCATTCTTCATCTGTGACAGTGGAGAGAAGGGTGTTTCTGTGTGGGCATTGTCGACGGCAGTGAGTGACTAGTTGGATCCCTACAGCTGCTGTGATTCTGATGAGTCAGCAGTCATGGGGTCCTGCTCCCAACCAAATTAAACTCAAGGTAGGGCAGTGACATTCTCTCTTCTTGGAAGTGAGATCTGGTGCCAGATCACCCTGGGAGAGAAAGAGGCTGGAGCCAAGTAAACTCATAGCCGCTTCCGAGACACACATTCCTCAAGTTCTGGCTGCTGAGAAGCTGGCCTTTCCCGAGTTCTTAACCTTCTTTAATCTGGGTGTTCATCGCTCCTTCACTTGATCTCCTTCCAGTAAGTCCCCGTTTCTTGCTTAAACTCACCCAACTCAGTTTCTTTTGCAGCAACCAAAAAATGCTGACTGACAGCCCAGTCGACCCCCCTTTCTGCTCCCAGCAGAATAAAGGCAGGTGTGGAGTTGGTGGTCAGCTGGCCCTGACCTCCAGTCCACAGGACCCGAAACTCATGTAAATACGCTTTGTAGGATTAACGCCCCGGTATGAATTATACTTGGCTTCAGAATCCATCCAGAGAACAAGCAAATGCAGGATTCTGCGGGCAGCTAGAAATCTTCCGGAATGAATGAAAACAGATGTTGCTACACCAGTCTCCCTCATTGTCCCTCCGAGTCACACACGCACACACACTCTAACCAGAGTGACTTACTGTGTCCGGGGTGGTGGTGGGGGGCTTGAGAGCCGCTCACAGAGGAGAGGTGCGCGCAGTGAGTGAACGGCACTCCACTTCTGTGTGTCAGCAGAGGGTCCGCCTGTCCCTTTCAAGCCGCTGTCTGTCATTTGGTGGACATGTCATTAGACTTAGTGATAACAGACCTGAAATCTCCACTCAAGCAGCTGAGCGACTTTGTCTGCTTAACCTCTCGAGAACCTCAATTTCCTCATCAGTAAAATCAAGAAGATAATACTTATCTTGAGAAGTTGTTGTGGAAGTTGAAAGTTATTACCCAGTGTGTAATTGTGCCTGCCTTATGATTGTCACTTGACTACAGTGAAATAATATAGAATTTCCAAAAGCATAGGGGTTTCTGTTTGTTTGGTGGTGTTTTTAGGGGGAAGATGGTAAAATATGGAGGAAAGCTTAAATCGTCAGTTTCCAGAAGCCAATACGGCGACCTGATTTTACCTCTTCATAAGCTGATGCAGGCAGGATGCTGGTGAAATGAATAAATTGTGCCTTAGTTTCAGGGAATTACTGAAAGAGGAGTTGGCAGAGTTGGCTTGAAACCATTAACCAGAGGTGGCTGCTACCTGCACAGGGAAAACTCTGGAAGCTTGGGAAGGTGCCTCTGTCCCAAATATTTCTCCTTCTGAAGCTGAAATCTGGAATGTAGGGGGAAAGCTTTCTTCTACCTTTAACAGCAAATAGAAGCCTCTTTCAAGAAGAATTGTACAATATTTCCTTTTCGAGTTATGGGAAGGACCCTGTGCTGGGGTCCAAGAGGTAGAGATCAGACCAGGACCTGAAGGAAGAAGAGGCAGGTCCCCTGGAACAGCAGGAAGTTCCCTGCAGACTCCTTGCCCAGTGAAAGGATGCTGAGACAGCTATACCGTGAAGTAGCTCAGCTAGACTCTTGATGGGACATTTAGATGTTTCCAGTTTGTGACTATTGGAAATAAAGCCGTTATGAAAATGAACTTGTAAGTCTTCATGAGAACAGAAGCTTTCGTTTCCTTTGGGTAAAGAGAAATGGGTGAGTCACATGGTAGGTGTATGTTTAACTCTCTAAGAACCTGCCAAACTGTTTTCCAAAGTGGGTGCATTTTGTATTCTCATCGAGTGTGTTGCACACTTCAGAGATATTGTGGGCTCAATTCAAAACCAGTGCAATAAAGCAACTATCACAATGAAGTGAGTCATACAAATTTTTTGGTTTCCCAGTGCACATAAAAGTTATATTCACACTAAACTGTAGTCAGTTAAGTGTGCAATAGCATTATGTCGGGAAAAAAAAGGATGTATATACCTTATTTAAAAAATACTTTATTGCTCAAAAATGCTAACCATCATCTGAGCCCTCAGCAAGTCATAGTAGTAAAATCAAAGATCATTGATGACAGATCAGCATAATAAATAAAATGACAGTGAAAAGGTTTGTGGTAAGAATTACCAAAATGTGATACAGAGACACGAAGTGAGCAAATGCGGGATGAAAATGACGCTGATAGACTTGCTGGATGCAGGGCTGCCACGAAACTTCAGTTTGAAACAGTATCTGTGAATCACAATTAAGTGCAATGAAATGAGATGTGCCTTTATATGAAAGTTCTAGTTGCTCATATTCTTGCCAACAAGAATTCTTGGAATGATCAGACTTGTTCATTTTAACTATTCTAATAGGTGTGCAGTTTTCATTTGGTTTTTAATTGTGGTTTTAGTTTCAATTTCTCTAATGACATCATGTTGATCATCTTTTCATGTGTTTATTGGTTACTTGTACTCCTCTTTGGAGAAATGTCTATTCAGATCCTTTCCTCATTTTTGAACTGGGTTATTTGTATTTTTATTGTTGAGTTGTAAGATTTTTTAAAAATATACTCTAAACATTAAACCCTTATCAGAGATGTGATTTGTAAATGTTTTCTCCCATTCTATAGCCTGATTTTTCACTTTCTTGATAGTGTACTTTCAAGCACAAAAGTTTTAAATTTTGATGAAGTTCAATTTAAAAAAAATTTATTTGCTTATGCTTTAGGTGTCATATCTAAGAAATTATTTCCTAATCCAAGGTCATAAAAATTTACAGTAATGTTTTCTTTCTTTTTTTTTAGTGGAGGTGCTGGGGATTCAACTCAGGACCTTGTGCATGCTGAGCATGTGCTCTGCCACTGACCTATACACCCCCCCACACCAATATTTTCTTTTAAGAGTTTTATAGTTTAAGCTCTGACATTTAAGTCTTTAATTTTTGTATATGGTATGAGGTAGGGGTTCCAAATTCATTCTTTTGCATGTGGCTATCTAGTTGTCCTAGCATCATTTTGTTTTGAAAAGCTTGCTTTCATTGAATTGTCTTGGCACACTTTTGAAAATGAATTGACCATGCTTGTATGGATTTATTTCTCATCTTAGTTCTATTCCGCTGATCTATATGTATCCTTATGCCATGTATTGATTGATTTTTTGAATGTTAAACCAATCTTGAATTCCTGGGGTTAATCTCACTTGGTCTTGATGTTTTATGGTTTTTATAAATTGTTAAACTCAATCACTAAAGTTTTGTTTAGAACTTTTACAACTACGCTCATGATGAATGTGTGTGATTTTATTTTCTTAAAATGTTTTTGATTTTGATATCAGAATAACACTAGCCTCATGGAAGGCTGAGAAATATTCCCTCCTCTTCAGTTTTCTAGGAGCATTTGTAGAGAATTGATATTATTTCTTCCTTAAATATTTGGTACAATTCCCCAATGAAGCCAGCTGGGTCTTGAGTTTTCTTTGTGGAAAGATTTCAACTACAAATTCAGTTTCAAAAAAAAACACAGGGCTATTCAGATTATATATTCTTCTTGATAGAGCTTGTGTCTCCTGTGTTTCTTATGTGTGGGGTTTGGTGAGTTCCTTGACTTATGAATGTATAATTTTCATCAAATTTGGGAACTTTCAGCCATTATTTCTTCAAATATTCCTTCTGTCCCTCCTTTCTCCCCTCTACTTCGAAGACTCCAGTTACTCAGATCAGGCCGCTTGCAGCTGTCCCACAGCCTACTGATGCTTCTTCCATTTTTAAAATTCTTTTTTCTCTGCCTTTCATTTTGGATAGTTTCTACTGCTATGTCTTCAAGTTTCCTAATATTTTATTCTGAAACGCCTAATCTGCTACTAATTCCATCCAGTGTTGCTGTTGTTTAATTTCAGATGTTTTCATCTCTAGAAGTTCAGTTGGACCCCATGCTTCTACATCGCCTTTTGGACGTATGGAATACAGTTATGGTAATTGTCTTCACGTCCTCACCTTCGCTGTTCTCAGCCCTGGTGGGGACTTCATTACCTTTTCCCTCCTTGGGTAGTTTCCTCCCATGCACTGTTGATCCATCCCAGCTGCATACTGGAGAGGACCTTCCATAGATCTCCAGGGGTTTCTGCTCTCTGACACTCTAGCCAACCACCCCACCTCTAGGCACTTCGTTCATCCTGGTCACTCAGCTGTTTCTGAAACTCCCAGAGTCCACTGGGCTCCATTCAAGCTCCCCATTCCTGCTCCGAGCTCTCAGGGCAGTGAGCTGGGCCATTTGTTCCTGTCTCTCGGGCATTACTGTCCTTCATTGCCAGATGCCCAGTGTCTCAAAAACTGTTGTTTGACATACTTTGTGTGTTTGTTTTTTGGTTGGAGGGTGCAGGAGGGTAAATCCAATCCCTACTATCCCATGTGGGCCAGACTTGAAGTCAAAGCTAGTGGATTCTGAAAGCTGTTTAAAAACTGCCTTCCCCTTGTCTAGTTAACCTCTGATACGTCTCTGAGCCTGCCAGGAAGAGTCTGCGGGGGAGATAAAATGAAAATTTGGAGGGATGGGATGTTTACCAGCTGGCTTTTGTACTACAGAACAGCCATGTCTTTAAACACAGCCCTGTTCAGACACCCAGGAAAAGCCCATACATTTCAGTGTCAGATTGGGGAACACGTGTCCAGACTCTGAGCCCTCTGGGCCAGTCTCTGTGTGACAACTCTCTTGCTCAGAGGACCTGGCTCCTGACTTTGGGGGCCAGCAGCTAGAGGCAGTGGCCTGGAGCAGCCAGTACAAAGGAGAGTTTCTTGGCATGAGGGAGATTTGTTTTTCTAAGCCTGTGTCTTTTAAAATCTCGACCCTGATTGGAACAGACAGTGACCCCTTGGAGCAGATTGAGAGCATGTCATCCTGGGAATGATGGGGGTTCAGAGTGGGGTAGAATGGAGCTCCGTAGTCCAGAGCAGCCTGGCTCAGGACCCTTGTTCGGAGACTAGGGCTCTCTGATGTCTGATGCTGGTCACATCCTCCTCTGGACCCTGGCAGCACTGACAGTCTGGGACATGTGTGTATACAGGGTTCGAAGGGCATATGGCCACATACCGTTCTCCAAACAGTAATTTTAATTCTCTGATAACTGTCCTCCAAACATTTATTATAGTAGTAATAATATTGAGGCTTCACAAAGCCCTCTGTTTTTCAGTGATACAATATGTTTTGTGTTTGTGTGTGGTTAAATACACATAACATAAAATTTACCATTGTAACCACTTTAAAGTGAACAATTCAGTGACATTAAGTACATTCGCAGTGTTATACAACCATCTCCACTATCAAGTTACAGGCTTTCTTCATCACCCCAAATGGAAACCTGGTACCCATCTGCCTTTCTTGATACCCTGCAGAGAGGCCCCCACAGTCATTCTTTCTAGCAGGTGGAATTTTATGACTATTTGTGTGGCATCTGTCTGAGCCCTGGCACAAAATCATCGCCATTGGTGCTGCTGCCAGGAGGCACCCCCCCCCACACACACACCTTCACTTGTTAAACATTGCCCTTTTCCTGTTTCTTCTGAAAACTTAACCATTTCCTCCCCCCTTCCCACCTGGACCTCTTGCCATGGTGATTTCGTTTCCGCACTGACAGGACAGCCCTGTGCACAGCAAGGGCTCCGGGCCCTTGGAGGGGGCTCTGGAAGAGTGTTAAGGGCAGGACGTGTGGAAGGGAGACCTTGCTGGCAGCCCGAGCTTGGCCCCTGGATCACTGCAGCTCTGTGTTCTCCAGGGGGATGTGGGAGAGTCCAGTTTCAGGGGATTTGGGCCTTGTTTTCCAATCTTCCCGTTGTCTGCACTCCTGTTAAATTTGGGCGAAGTTCATCAGAGCAGGGCCTGTCATGCTCGGCTTGTAAGAAAAAAGGGAAGAGAAGCAGGCTCCGGACGGCATCTTTACTGCACACACACGCATCCAGACACCCCACACCATCACATCCACACACACAAGGAAACAGGCCAGCTGGCTCACTCCCCACCGGGGAACCACTCTGTGCCAAACCAATGAGGGAGAAAAGGAATAAAGGAGAAGGGCAAGAAGAGCAAAAAGTACCTCAGCTTGGAAAGAGGAAGGTGGTGGAGGTGAGCAGTCCTGGACCTTGGATGGTTGATATTGCCTTGACAGAGCGCTTCTGAATCCGCTGTGTGTGCTGGGAGCCAAGAGAAGGGGGTAGGGTTTGTGTTGGTGACTGAGGAACAGAAAGGTGTGGCTCCCACCTTGCTAACAAATATTGTGTGACCCCCTTGAAGGTTCAGCTTTTCTCCTAATGTGGGTGTCTTGTCTCAAACACTAGTAGGCAGGCTCCTTGAGGGTGTGACCATGGTCATCTCATCGTGCCTTGGCCCTCCCCACTTCTTAAACACCCTCTCCTCTTAGAGTCCAAGATAATAGATGCCTGCTCAGAACATCTGGGTCTCCTCTAGCTCGTCTTTGTATAAACTCTTCCCTGTCTTCTCACTCCTCACCTCACCTTCCCCAAGGGCTGCAGCCTCCCCATGCTCATGACTCCCACCCCCTCTGGCCTCACCTGTAGGCCACACCTGTAGGGCCAGATGCCCACCAGTCTTCATATCTGGATGTTGCAATGGCCCCTTTAAGTGCACAGGTCCTAAAATGAACTCATGATCAGCCTGTAGAAGCATCTCTGAGCCTGTATCATGGGCCAGAGTCTGTCGGCACAACGGGGAACTCCCAGAGTCCTAGTTTCTGCAGAGTCCACCTCAGGAACACCCCTGCGCTTTCTGCCTTCCTCTCTCCTGCTGGACCCCAGCAGCCTCCTCCTGCCTCCTTTCACCCCACCTCCACAAGTCTTTTACCAGCGACTCCAAATCCCCACTTTAACGTGCCCTCCCAACCCTTCACTGGCCCCTGTTGCCTACGAAGTAATGCCCCCTTTCTCAATCCTTACGCAGAGCTGCAAGCTGATTCACATGTTTGAGGAAAGAAAGAATGGGTTTCTCTGGTTTAGACCACTTGGAGAATAAATGGCGCAGTGCCCCGTAGGACCTCATCATGGGGTATTCTTTCGGAGTCTGGTCAACCATTGGGAGACGGTCAGGTCATCGTGCTGAGGGCTGACTTTCCAAAGCTATCCTGTTCCCGGCCCCGCTTTCCCCAAAACACACAAACACAAATCTGGTGTGAGATTTGCCCCGCTAGCTTTCCTCAGGAGCCCTCGAGTGTTCGGGAAATCCTGCTACCTTTAGGACCTGGAGGATCCGAGTTGGGGGGGGGTCACCCCTCCCCGCCCCCCGCGAAGCCGGCACCGGAACTGCTCTAATGGGAACCAGCAGCCCCGCGCTCCAGGAGGGCTCGCGGCCCCGGGTGTGGGATTCCTGCGGGGACCTGGGCAGACGATCCGAAGCGCGCGCCGAGGCTAGGGGCGCGGGACGCTCCCCCTTCCCTCGAGGGACGTCTTTAGGATTCGGGGTGTGCACGTGATTTCCCAGCGAGGGCGGACTGAAGGCTCTCTCAGACCAGCGGAACCGACCCTGAGTTCCCCGAGAGGCCCTCCGAGAGGGTTCTTAGAACTGGGAGCCTGGAAGGAGCAGACTTGCCTGGTAGCGGCGCGCAGCCGCGGGACCCAGTGAGTTCCCGGCGTGCGCCTCTCCCCAGCCCTGACCTTGCCGTCCACCTCCTCCTCCTTCTCATCGTCCCGGCCTTTGGTCCTGGCAGGGGTGGCAGAGGGCAGGAGCCCAGAGGCGCAGGTCGGGTAACCGGGAGTGTCGCACGTGGAACCCTCCCCAACGTCCCTGGGGCTGAGGTCCATCCCGAGGGACCCGAGGCCGGGGTGGGGTTGCGGGAGCGCAGGCCCGAAAAGTGGGAGGGGACAGGTTGAGGGGTGGTCTCTGAGGAGGAGCCAGGCTGTACTGTATTGTTCGCCACTCGGCCTCCCGGAGCGCGCGGCGCCGCCCGAGGAGGGCACCGAGGCGCTCCACTTCCCGGGTCCCTCCGCTCCCTGCGCCCCGCGAAGAGATTCGGACCTTTCAGCGCGCCCCGAGAAGGCTCTGCTCGGCTGGCGCGGGCCCAGAGGGAGGGGTCTGCTCAGGTTGGGTGCGGATCTTCCCTGGGGGCTCAGGGAAGGGAGGGTTCCACGCGGTGGGGCTGGGACAGCTACACCCGGGGACCCGGAGTCTAGAGTGGGCCGCCCCCCGCAACGCAGCCCCCGTCAGGTCAGCGGGCCGGGAGGCCAGGTGCGCGCACGGGAGCGCGGGTCCCCCGCCTCACCC